AGTCAAATGAAGCCGGGCACCACTGGCTCACACTTGCAATCCTAGCTACTCAGGAGGCTCAGATCTGAGGATATCGGTTTGAGGCCAGTCCAGTCCAAAAAGTTTGACCCCCAAAAAGTAGGGTTAGAAGAATGCCCAGGTAGTAGAGTGTCAGCTGAACGAGTTTAAACCTCAGGACCACCAAAAAGTGAAAAAGAAAGATGAGTGAAAGTATACGGCCTGCTCAGGCTAGCCCAAGTCAGCAGGGTAGCTGAGAATCTGCTGTGAGTTCAGCATACTGTGGCCAGCACACTGCATTGGTCGTTGATGCAGCAGTGCTGCTGAAACCACAGCAGCCTCCCCGGGCTCCCACTAGTTTCCAGGGGCCACTGGTGCGGCCGGCCCACCAAGCCCCCTTCAGCAGCGCATGGTGCGGAGGACCTTCCCAGCACTGCCTCACAGACCTTCCCCTTAGGCTGCCTCTGGGCCCGGGAGGCAAAGCACAAGGAAGCCCACTTAGCCGCCTTGCCTCTGGGCCCAGGTTCAGAGTAGCAGTCTAGTAGACAGCCAACTGCTAAAGAATTCAGGTGGCTAAAGAATTCAGGCTGAGATCTGAGGATCATGGTTCAAATCCAGCCCAGCACTGGAAAGTCCCATGAGACTCTTATCTCCAATTAACCACCAAAAAACTGGAAGTGGTTCATGGCTCCAAGTGGTAGAGCATGGAGCAAAAGAGCTCAGGGACAGCACCCGGACCCTGAGTTCAGGCTCCATGACTGACCCAAAAAAACACCAACAAAAAACAAGAATTTAAAGGAGAAAAGAATCACAAAGACTAAGAAAAGTATTTGATTTACTAAGAAATGTTTTAAATGTGCATACTTATAATCCCAGCAAGCATTGTTCCCTGCTGCTAGCTGGAGTTCACACAGTGGGGTCCACGTTAGCAGGACATCAAAACCCCTTTGTTGTTTTGTTTTGTTTTATTGGCAGACCCTCTACCACTTGAGCCACACCCCTAGCCTTTTTTGCCTCTATTTTTCAGATAGGGTCTCTGGATTTTGCCTGAGCCTACCTCACACAGCAATGCACCTTTATAGTAACTGCTTGTGTTTGAGATAAAAGTTTCATTTTTTTTTTTCTTGGACTGAACTTGAGTGATCCTCCTCTCTCTGCCTCTTGAGTAACTGGAATTACAGGCATGAGCCACCATGCATAGCCCCTCTTTTCATTGTATATTAACTGTACAAAGGTGGTTCAATTCCTTACATGCATACAATGCACAATAATCTTAGTCACCTCCTCTATTACTCTTCTTTCTTACCCCTTTATATTTACAGCTTTTATTGTGTGTGTGTGTGTGTGTGTGTGTGTGCGCGCGCGTGTGCGCGCGCGCACCTGTGTGAATGTCCTAGAGTTTGAACTCAGGACCAGGGCACTGTCCCTGAACTTTTGTGCTTAAGGCTAGTGCTCTATCACTGAAGCCACAGCTCTACTTCCACCTTTTTTGGTGTTAAGTGGACATAATAGGCTTAAGGGCTTTCCTATCCGAGCTGGCTTTGAACTGTAATTCTCAGATCTCAGCCTTCTAAGGTAGCTAGAATTTGCAGGCATGAGTCACCAGCATGTGGCTATGTTTACAGTTTTTACTGGTCTCCATTATGTTATTTTCATACATACATACATTTTACTTCGATTTTATTCACCTCACTCCTCTCTCTTTAAAGTGTACATATTAACAGCTGGCTACGGTGGCTCATACCTTTGGGCTTCGTTCTAAGATCCCATCTCAAAAAAGGAAAGGAAAGGAGAAGAGGACAGAGAGGAGGGGAGAGGAGGGAAAGGGAACCAGGAGGGAGACGAAGGACAAAAGTAAAGTGCGCATCCTTTGGCTTAGCACTTTTGATCTAGGAACTTATTCTACGCAGAATTGTGAAAAAAGGTCTATTCATAAGAAATTCATCCAAATAGTATTTTTGATTTATAAAGGAAAATACTAAATATCCAAAAGGATATGGTAGTTGGTTTAATTGTGGTGTTCCCACAGGATGGGCCACTGGGTTGCTATTAACAATTAACACTGGTGATGGAAAAGATAGACTTAATGGTATGGGGAAGTTAACAAGATACACTGAAGTAGAACAAGTAACAAAATCATCATTAATATGTTCTCAATTATCTTTAAAGTAGATCCAGCATTGTAAAATGGCTAGAAAGATGTACACTGCTATGCTTCTCTGGAGAATTTAGAATTCTGCCTTGTTGTTTGTAAGTATTGGACACGTTATATTTCTAATAAGAGTTTTAGCACAAGTGAAATGTGACCGGAATGGAACTGCACAGGTTTGCAGTTGGAAGGCTTTCCCTGCCTTCACAGGAGAACTCTGACCTTGGCTCCCTCCAGGCTCCCTCCTGGGTACTAGAAGGATTCATGTAAATAACTGGTGAAAACCTTCTTTTCTGTTTACATAGCTTCATTGTACCCCCTGAGCACGTTGATTTAAACACCAAAATTGAGCCTCATGATCTTCTGTGATCCTAGCACGGGTCAGAAATTTCCACACCAAATTACCTATCTCGATAAATTAAATTCATGTGTGCTTTTCTAAAAGGGCTTTTCATAACACTAATACCTTTGAATCCAACTGGCTTCCTCAGACCTTGGAGAAGAAGTGAGCAGTCTTCTTTTGGGGGGAAAAATTAAATAAAATAACACAAGGGCCAATTCAGGAAAAATAAAAATGTTTATGAGCCTCATTTTTCTCCCACCCAAAATAAAGGTCGTTTTTTTAGAGTCCCATAGAGGGGGAAAAATCTGTTCTTCTAAGCTGTAAAGTGCCTTATCGGGGAAAAAAAAAAAACAGCAGTCAGGACATTGGCACTGCTTTTTAGTCCTCGAAATTCTTTTTCTTGTGCCTGGGAAATACAACATAAAGGCATCTTCTTAATAATTTATCTATTTGGAAAATTTTGCTTTGCTGGGGACCAGGTGTTCTGACCATGGTTACGTATCACTACTTACAGAAATCTGTTTCAGGAATAGAACTGAGGGAATTGAGAGAGAGATCTGTGTGTGCGCGCACATGTGCACACTTCCTCCACACCCATCTGTGAGGAGTGTACAGGCTAGATGAGTCTTACTTTGACATAAATATGGACAGAGCAATTGATCTGAGAATACGATGGGTTAGTAGATGGTAGATAGAAAATCAAAAGACAGATTAGGGAGGGAATTAAATGAGTCAAAAGTGGGAGGGGGAGTTTATGAAAGCAGATAGAGACAGCCTGTGCTTCTGAAGTGAGTGGGGTGGGGGGCGGGGAGGTAGAGAACTGAGTCCAAGGGCATTTGTCACTGTTATATAAGAAGGAAGGACGTCTGGTGAGTGAAGCTGGAGCCTTCAGAAGGCAGGGGACAAGTTCAAGGTCATTCTAAACAACAGGGTGGAAATCCATTCTGGCCAGGCACCAACACTGCTAAGCCATCCTCTTGGAATGAGGAGCAGAGACAGTAGATCACCCAAATAAGAAATGTCCGGGTAGGAGCAGTGATAGACAAGGCAAGATAAAAGAGGGAAGGTGCCAGAGTGAGGGTGTCCAGAGTAGGTAGCCATGGGGATGAGAACAGGTGGGCAGAGATACCATCCTCATGCTGAGCACACACTTAGTCCCCACTACAGCACCTGGGTCTTTCCATCCAGACTCCCATTGTGTTTGATTCTGTCTTCCAGGCCTGGAGGCCTAGAAGAGAATCGTCAGCCTGCCCCATAGAATAGGCAGAACTGCAGCTCTCCTGTCTGTCACTGTCCTGTTCCCCAGCCCTCCTCCTGGTTGAATTCTAACTTGTCATCTTTCCACAAGTCAGTATCTCCTAGGACCCTGCCCTCCCAACTCTCCTCCATGGAGTACTCTTTGCATAGAAAGATACAAGCTCACAGGTGGGGGGGGGGGGGGGGCGGGGGCGGGGAGGTGATGAGGCTGTGTGCTTCCCGCTTCCAGTGGAGCATGCTGTGGAATCAGGCTGAGTGGTCACCAAACACAGCACCAATATATTTTAACTCAGGTGGAATTACGGCTTCTGCAGGGGAAAAGCAAGGTCTCTTAAAGAATAATGTGAGAAGAAGCAGGAACAAGTAGATCAATCTGAATTCAAAGAGTTATCTGAACTCAAAAAGTCTTTTGCAAGAGTCCAAAGTCTGCTTTCAAAAGTGAGCTCTGTTGAGAAACAGGCTTCTAATCATCATTATCATTGTAGGGCTGATAGTGTCCTTTTCCATACATAACACTGAGTAGCCTCCACTTAATCATCCCATATCACAAACCAGCTATGGCTATGGTACTGGCAGTAGGCGCCAACCACTGGTGCTCACTGCTGTGCAAGACCAGCCCCAGGACGAGCCTGTCATTTACTACTGGTCCTTTCACGATGGTGTCCAAGGCCAACTGTGGCCACTCACTATCAAAGAAAGTTTAAATGAATCAGCAGACCTGATTCCAGGGTTGATGCTGGTTTTGTCCAAGACTTGCAGTACTGGTGTGGGGGGGGAGGGGGGTGCACGCATGTGCACGCTCACGTGCGTGAGCACATGCGCATGTGCTCACATACATGCACGTGCCAGTTTGGGGGGCTAGTGCTACCTTCTAAAGTCCTCTGCAGCAGTCCCAAACTGAGCACTAAGGATAGAAAGGATCACCATGCAAAGCAGCATGTGTTCACAGTGCTCCCTCCAAGGAAGAGAGAATGCCTCTGCCTCTGATGAGTGGAGGACAGAGCCCATGTTAGAACTCAGGCTGCGGCACCCTCCACACTGGACTCTGTTCCTCGTAACTGCCAAACCAGGGAGAGAAACTTCTGTATATTTCCTCAAGAGGTGTCACCCCACAAGGACAAAGCCAGGCCTGTGGGACCTCCTTGCCACCCCACTGGCTGCCGAGGTGATTTCACCCTGCATCCACTCAGGGTCGAGACAGCGTAGTGAACTTGGGCTGGAAATGATGGCTCTGTGTCCTCTGATCTCTTGCAGCCCGCTGCTAGCCGTGTCCTTCGCCACTTGTTGTGCTGTCCCAGGAGTGGCCCTTCTGACCTGGGGCGTGAATCCACTCACAGGAGCCCTGGGGGTCTTCAACATTTTCCTGTACACCTGTTGCTACACACCACTGAAGAGGATCAGCATTGCCAACACATGGGTTGGAGCCGTGGTTGGGGCCATCCCACCCGTCATGGGCTGGACAGCGGCCACTGGCAGCCTCGATGTTGGTGAGTGTCTCCCTGTGCTTAGTCGCAGCTTCTCCTGTCAGACCCAGGACAGGGGTACCAGAATCAGAGCTCCTGAAGCTTCCAAGCAAGCCAGGCTCTCCAGAGGCCCCAGGACACAGTACATGGGTAACTTAAGTGACTCTTAGGGCAAATGTGTATCCAGGGGGCAGTCTGGAACACTGGCTACAAAAGCTGAGGGGAGTCCATGTCTTCCTTGCTTGTGCCTGGACCTGACACCTGCTCTCCTATGTAGGGAAGGCCTAAGAGAAAAGCAGGAGTCAGTGCTGCCTCGGGCTGCAGATGAAGTGGAAAGAAGTCCCTGAGACTCATGGTAAAAAATCACAAATCAACTTAGCCCTGGCTGGCTCACATGGGATGTCCCGGCCAAGGGCAAGGGGCAGAGAACTGGCTTGTGGTTTCCTGTCACAGGCCAGTCACCCCACCAGCAAGCCTCTGTCCCGCCTGCCCTCCCTTAGAGCGAGGTTATTTTCCCCTCTTATGAAAGAACAGATTATTTTCATTAGTTTCTCATTTATTTTTATATGATTTGCTTAAATTGTTCATGCTGTCTACAGTAAGACCATTGTAGCCATGTTTTGGGTGGTATGTCACAACTAAATTTGTGGGGTGCAAATAGCTCATTTTTACCATGTGCAAGGGAAGTTTCGCAGTCTAATTAGTCGAGTAATTAGTGTTTGTGACCAACACTTAGGAAGGAAGTGGTGAGGCTCCCTGCAATATGTGTAAGTACATATTTTTCACATGAGAGATCAAAAGGTAGTTGGGCTATAAACCGTTTCCCTGTAAGCCACATTTCTGAAACTTTTCATAAAAGCTCATGCACTCCACTTGGCAGGCTTACAGATGCGATTCCACCTTCACCACGATCGTGTCTCAGAACGGTTTTAATATCCTGTAAGTAGTGGATGTTAATGAATGTACACGCATAATATCCTAAAACATGTCTCATTTGCCCAGCAATAAACCTTCTTCAGCAGAGCCCCATCCACGCAGTAGGCAACAGCAGCAGAGTGCCACAGTACCGGATGCCACCGCAGCCGCCAGGGGCAGGAACCAGTTCTCTCACCCACCCCGCCCCTTAGCTGTTGACCTGCAGAACTGAACCTGGCCTTTCTGCCGACCTCCCATCTCCCATGAGGCAAAGGATTTCCTTTGTGAAACTGTGTGATTTAAATAGGTGCCATCATAGCCAGACCAGAAAGATACAGTGCTATAAGTGGGGGGGGAAAAAACTTAACTTCTCATTGTGAAGGCCTTTGTGTCATTGTTCCATGGTAGAAGGGCACAGGAGAGACAGAGGAGAGAAAGAGAGCAAGCGAGCGCATGCACGCACACATGAGCTAAGACTGGCAGTCAGCATTGAGCCATTCATGGAGTGGAACTCTTCTAGACCTAAACACTTGCCCATTAGGTCCTACTCCCAATAATGTCACCTGGAAATTATATTGCTAATACTGACAGGGGATACATTAATCCTTATTAATCCATAGCAGCTGTTGGTATAATGTGCCGGACCAAGGTAAGGGCTCAGCCCCTGGCAGGTGCTGCTGCTGTTACCGATCAATAGTCTTCTTCCACACAGCAAGACAGTGTTAACATGGGAGAGGAGAAGCCTGGAGATTTTATTTGGTGTATAAACGAAGCAGTTAAACTTCATTCCCTGGTGTTGTTTTGAAGACTAGGAGATTCCTCTAGGCATGCTGGGAAAGGAAAGAACTCTGAGTTCGTTAGGGAAGGCTGTCTTGAGATTAGGAAGAGAGGGGGTAGCATGGATTTGGTAACCGTAGACAAGAGTTTCCACCCTACATACCACAGACCTCCCACTCCTGCCCCCACTCCTGTTCTTTATTCCACCTGGAGCAAACTCCCTCTTACCCCTGACTCAACGCTCTGCACACCTCTGTAGTCCCCTGCGTTGGCCTGTGCAGTGATTACTCAGGTAGTGGCTGTGGCAGCCATGAAAGGAAGACTCCGATACAATCTCCCCTTCCTCTGTTCCAGCAGGGCTGCGGTGTAGGAAACTCCCTGCTGTCTATAGCAGGACTTTACCTGTGTCCAATTTTCTCTGTGCTAAGGTTTGTGGGTTTGGGGGGCGGGGGGGGTTGGGATTTTTTTTATTATTTTTTGTTTTTTCTCCCACCTAGCTAATGATCTGGCCTCTTCGTTTATTAATATTTTGAAAGCTTAAATACTGCTAGCAGGAAATATTAAAAAAATAACCTCTTTCCAGCTAGAAGTCAGTCAGCAGGCCAAAGCGAGATGGCTGTTTTCCACCCAAGGTGGAGCTTGGCTAGTTGTCTCAGAAACAGAGTTTGAGTCAGCACGCTGGGGGGCCAGGAATGGCAGTGACTGGTGACCCACCAAGAGCCCTGGTGAAGGCGGCCATCCTGACGCAGGGCGGCGATGGAGATAAGTGCCTGGCAGCTGACATTCCAGCCCCAAGCGGGCCTGGAGCCGCCTGCATTAGGCTCTCGGCAGTGTTTATCTCCTGAGACTATTTTGTTTATCTCAGGCTTCACTGGATTCCCCTTCCCCCCCTGCTCCCGCCCAGAGCCACCTCTTTCCATCACCCCTGTTTTTCTAGAAATGCTCCCATTCTTTCTGTTATTTTCTCAATTTGAATAATCCCAGGTCTTGAGTGTCTTTGGAGTTAAGCATGGGCCTCCCTGGGGTCCATCTTGAGGAGTTGATTCACTCGTGGTCTGGTTTGTAATTCAGATGTTGTATGGTAAACATTAATTATGCCAGCCAACATTCAGTTACAAATGAGGACTTAAGAATAGCTCTTATCAGGAAGTGGCATTTGGCAGATGGATGGCTTCAGTCACCAACCAAAAAAAAAAAAAAGAGAGCTAGAGTGAGTTTTTTAACCTATACTAGTAAACTCCAAAATGTTAAAATTCTGTTTTACTTTACCTCCTTTAGTTCCAGATGAGAAAATAGAGTCAAACAGAGGGAAATGATTCATTCATTCAGGCTACAAATATTTATAGAGGGCCTACTAAATACCAGGTCGTATTTAACCATGCACTTTTGAAGATTTTCTTTAAAATCTGCCTCCATTTGAAATTAAACTTGAAAATGAGTGCTCCTGTATGCTGTTTTTATCATAGCTAACCTTAGAACTCTAAATTAAGATAAATGACATCCTGTTCAGTTCCAGCGGCTCATGCCTGTAATCCTAGCTACTCAGGAGGCTGAGATCTGAGGGTGGAGGTAGGTAGCCAGGAAAGTCCATGGGACTTTTATCTCCAGTTAACTAGAAACCTGAAGTGGAGCTGTGGGCCAAAGCTCAGGGACAGTGTCCAGGCCCTGAGTTCAAATCCCAGAACTGGTGGGTATATATACACACACACACACATACACAAATAGGATATAATACTGCAAGACTTAGACAAAACCAGCATCAATCCTGGAAGCAGTTCTGCCAATCTATATATATACTTTCTTTGATGGTGAATGGAAGAAAGGAAGGGAGGAAGGAAGGATCAATGACATCTTTAAAAACAAAATAAACAGGGCTGGGAATGTGGCTTAGTGGTAGAGTGCTTGCCTAGCATGCATGAAGCCCTAGGTTCAATTCCTCAGTACCACACAAGCAGAAAAGGCTGGAAGTGATGCTATGGCTCAAGTGGTAGAGTGCTAACCTTATGCAAAAGAAGTTCAGGGATAGTGCCCAGGCCCTGAGTTTAAGCCCCATGACTAGCAAAAATTAAAGTAAATAAACAAGGAAGATTTCTTGCAGAAACACCAGCAAATGATATTTAGAATCTTAATCTTATCCAAAAGAAAAGAAAAAGGATGATGTGGAAGAAATACTGGACTTGCTTCCAGGGACCCAAGATGGATGGCACAATTGGAGGTGAGCTTCGTTAATGTTAGCTCTTGCTGATCCATCAGTCATGCCGTGTTGCCTTGGCTGATGCCAGGCTGGTGGGCACAGAGCTAGTACATCCAGGATGAGATCATAGAGAACACCTCCTCACGCCAGCCTACTTTGGGTACTGTGTCTGATGTGAAGGCATGTTGCTGGGAGGACCAGGGAATAAAGATGGAAAGACATTCCATTGTGAGCTAAGAATTAGGGAGCATTTGAACATGTGGGAAAATCCATAGGTGCTTGAAACTTACAGGGAAACAGAAGGAAGCAGGAGCCCCTTTATCAGGATCAGAGCTTTGTGCTTCCCATTCTCGGTCTTCCAGTGAGATCTCTGGTGGAGGGTGGAAGGCACCCACCATGAGGGATGTGAATGCCTTCCAACTCGTACCTTGGCACCTCTTCATTATTCCCAAAGCTACTTTCCAAAGAGTTCTTCCGGGCCAAGGGCTATTGCCCTGTCTTTCCAACTTTCAGAGGACTTTTAATCTTGCCTTTTGTCTCTTGCACAGTTGATAAACTGGCCCTACATCCTCCTCCCTTTATCTGCAGCTTCATAGAGGTCTATTGCACTGCAGAGACTGATCTGTTTCACAAGCTCCTTTGTGTCAACCCTCAAAGGGAAGGCTTTGAAAGTTGTGACCATGAAGCTCTGAGTTTGGCTCTGCTTCCCCAGTATACATAACCACATAACCCCAGGAGCCCAAGAATGGCCAGCCATGGACCTGATGAGCTCCGCAGGGCCACACTTGGACAGTCATCTGTTGTACCAGGGGAGGGAAGACTCCCTAACCGACAGCAAGGGTCATAGCAGCTGAGTTCTTTGTCCTTTGCCAGGCCATGCCTGCATGGTGAATGACAATGAATGGGATTCCATGGGGGCTATCAGAGAGAGCAAGCTAAATCCATTGAATAACCAACATTGCAGCAGGAATTTTCCTTGGAAAAGCATATACAGAGAGACAGCACTCCGGCTTGAGGATTTTCCTCCGCATTCTGTTAGGGAGCCATGTCTCTGGAACTACCTTCCTTTGGTTTGTCAATAAAGGGATGGGCTGAAGGGAAGAGTGTTTCTGGACTTGGGAAGAGGAAGCAATGGGTT